GAAGTCAATCGTGAACATTTGTTGAGTACGTATTTAATTAGAAAAATTGGTACCCGCCTGAGATTCGAACACCGGTGCATCGCTCAACACGAATGCACCGGACGTCTTATCCGTTAGGCCACGACGACAGTACAGTTTGTATTTATACAAATCAACAGCGTCTCGCGACGAATGCGCCAGGGCTGCGGCAGTCATCCGCTGGGTACTAAAACAGGCGTGGTCTTGTTCTTGCGGGGGCGCTCAGCTCACGCGAGACCTGCTGGTGCTGGGAGTGCCTCGCGCCCACGCAACTGCCCTAGCGGACGTAGTCGACGAGGGAGCACAAGATTATAAAGAAAATGTCAAGAATAACGGCTTTATGGGTATGCATGCACTATGTTCAGTAGCAACTTTGAGAAGGCGGCACGACATGAGAACCCTCTTGTTGTGGCCGCTGGAAACTACATACCCGATCCTGTAGACCGAATGGTAAACAGTCGACGTTGCCCAAAATACGTCATTACGGATACTGCCGATCCATTAACGATGCTTTTAGGTACCACAGGCACCGGTCACCGTCCTCGTCGAACCCGTCGCTTGCGACGAAATGCTTGACGAGCGAATTCACCCATAGACACAGCCCACTGAGTTTCTCGTCGGATCTTCTCAGTGGGTCGCGTTTCCGATACGGTGGTAGATTCTGCGAAGCACTGCTCTTGCTAGGGCCAGTGTTAGCATCACTCCGGTTTAAGCCCAGTGAGCTTACCTACTAGTTAAGGCTACGCTGAAATAGCCTCTCAAGGCTATCAGCTTAGATAGAAAAAAAAAAAGTTCAGTAAGAAGTGTTACAGCTCACAACAGTCGGAGCACAATGAAAAGCTTTCTGCAGTGGTTTATTTCCGTATAGTAATTTAATAGAGAAGTCCAGTGCGCTTATTCTTCCACCCCAAGTGGAAATATATACACCATATTGAATGAAATATTGTATACCTTTGTGGCAAGAAAAGTCCGGTCTCTATTAGGACCGCATATTAGGTATAACACCTTAATGGCAAACAAACGTCACATAGTGTCCGATAGAGATAACCCTCTACCGAAACCGAAATTAGCCGATTACCTCTTTCCAAATTATGATGTAAAACATTTATTGCCGGGTATTGTAACAAAATTCGTAGCATGCATGTAATCAGTTTTTTTTTTCAGTGAATAAAGTGACAGATATTTCAATAGCAAAAGGTCCCAAAGGTTCAGTGGACACATATAAACTTACAATACACACAGATAACGTGTTTATTGCCGAACAAAATCGGAAGGAGCTTCTTATAGACGAGACTCAAGCTAAAGTTATGCTTGAGGAACTGAAGAAGGCGTACAAGAAAATGGAGGAAATTGGAAACGAAACTGGAAATAAATCATAAATTTTTAAAGAGCACAACTACCCACGTTTTATTGGAGCAATTGCTTTATTATGTAAATCACATGCTGTATTGTATTTATACATTATACCTATTTAAGTTATTGGTTTTATTTATAAAAAAATGCGTTTTTTGTTCACGTGTGGTATATACATTCGTTAAACATTCTTGGAACATTGATGTCGTTGTGGCCTAAAGGATAAGACGTCCGGTGCATTCGTATGTAGCGATGCGTCGGTGTTCGAATCCCGCCGGCAGGTACCAATTTTTCCGTACGTACGTATTTACGTAATAAATACTTAACAAATGTTCACGATTGGCTTCCACGGTGAAGGAATAACATCGTGTAATAAAAGTCAAACCATTAACAAAAAAAAAAGCATTGCTTACGAGTAGAACCTGTAGTTCAATTATATCAGACCGACACCGCGGACATCGCCTATTATTTTCAACGTTAACGTGCCATCAGGGGTGCTGTATCTACTAACTTCATTACCTACTTTAGGGGTGATTATTCTTCCCGTAGTAATTTTTTTTTTTTTTTTTTTAAATATAGATATTTACTAACAATCACGCCACGTTAACTGGTCCCGTGCTAAGTTCGTAAAGAACTTGTGTTACAAGTACCAGATAACGGAAATAAATATAATATTTTTATTATAAGTTTAGGAGCCATCGTGGCTTAAAGAATAAGATGCCTGCTATAATCGCAACAAGCAACGCGATTATGCGGGTGTTCAAATCCCGTAGATTGATATCAATTTCATTAATCGTAACTAAACAATATATAAAGTCTAATAATAATAAAGCATAGAAGAAACAATAAATTCTCAAAATAAAATCGTACATCGCGTTCCCGCCAAAAGTCTGCTTTTATTTCTTTGATTCGTCAATTAAAAGGGCAAAGGAAACATTGCCCAGAGTATGGCGTTTTATCGGTATCGCTGTATCGAAAGTCAAAGCCATAAATTTTGTTAAATAATTGAAACGAAAAGAATGTTGCGGGAAGCATTACTTTTTGTTCTTGAGATTACCTGGAGAGTCTTCCGATGAGACGATAAATATATCCATAGAGATTCTCCGAATCTTCGTAGAGATAAAATAATGTAGCCTTTTACTTAAGCTACATCCGACCACTTTGTTACACATTCACACGCTTATGCACTTTCCCGGCCACCATACATCTACTAAACGGATACTAAGCTGAAATTATGTAAAAACCTTCCCTCCGATCCACTAACGGTGCTTCTAGGTACTTCAAGCACCGGTCACCGTTCTCGTCGAACCCGTCGCTTGCGACGAAGGGCTCGACGAGTAAATTAACTCTCAGACACAGCCCACTGAGTTTCTAGCCGGGTCTTCTCAGTGGGTCGCGTTTCCGATCCGGTGGTAGATTCTGCGAAGCACGACTCTTGCTAGGGTTCGTGTTAGCATCGTCGTCAGGTTTGAGCCCCGTGAGCTCACCTACTAGTTACGGTTACGCTGGAATAGCCGCTCCAGGCTACCAGCTTAGGTAGGAAAAAAAAAAGTAAAAACCTAAAGAACAAGAAAGCTAATAAACTAAAACAACAAACCCTGTCATTTAACTGTATAGTTATAGATAAGTGCACTATTTACATATGTTTGTTCACACAGTGCTGTCTTTTTTTGCATTGAAGTGTAATATTCGATAGGTTTATGTCGCTCGGTGGAAGATCTTCAATTGTCGTATACAGTAAATCGGTCAGTTTCAAATAAATCTACTTAATCTATTTCGGTCTTTATCATTTTTTCTTGAAACATAATAATGTATTTCATTTGAAGACTTTTATAAACTCCACACTTTCAACAATAAAATCCCACGAAAGAAATTGCCATAGGTACTTAAAAAAGCAGAAGAGCAGTAGAATGATATAATAATTAATAAAACCACATTTCAATCAATACATTTTTATTGTACAACATTTAAAGCATTAATACATTTAAGTCTATAAATACTCTATACTTAAATATTTTATATATATATGTATATACGATTATTTTGTATTTTCAGAAACAGAAATTTAAACTTCAAGTTAATACTATTAAATACATACATAGGTATGGATAAAACATTATTGGTAAACATATCACCCACAAGCAAACTATTATGACAATTTCTGCTTCAAGCATTTGCATAATCTTTAGAAGACCAATTTCTAGCAACCTATTCAATTTACATTTCAAAATTAATAATAGGCATAAACCAATATAAGATCAAGAAACTAAGAAAAATCAGTCTCCTATATTATATTAAACATATATCAAGTACAAGATAATACATTTTGTTTTTTAATTTTCCAGAATTATAGTTATGGAAATGCTACTGATTTTAAATGATTTCAACAAATTTGGCAAACGATTTTAAGTGTGTTGATGGTAGCTTCTAAGGTTTTTCCAGTCTTGAAATCTCACTAAATTCCCACCAATTTACTATGGAAATATTTCATTCTAGTTCATGCCATATTCAATTTCAGATAAATAAACTTATTTCGTTCCGCTCTAAGTAAATTTTTATCTAATTTTATTTTAACATCATCATTTAAATGGCTCGTATCTTACTTAGCCAATTAATTATTTTAAAAAGATAATATTATATAAAGATAAAAATATTGGTAATTAAAGATGGGCTTTCTTGAATATTGCTTTATTTAATCAGCTAGCTCATTCCTATAAACGATTTTTCAAAGCAAGACTAGAGGTCAATGTCCATTGGCATAAGTACTTTTCAACGTCTGTCAAAATTATGCATTTCTCCTGTAAAGTAAAATACCTCTATCACAGTTTGTTATACGTTGTAATTAACAGTCTGGTTTTTGCATTGAGAAGAGTTGACGGAAATGTCAATCAATACGATAATCAGAGCCACAAGGTCGGTTGTACGAGCTAAATTTAAACGAAACTTAATCCTTATGAACTTAGTCATTAAGCTGATTTTCGACGTTATGGCTCCGATTTAGAAAAATATTATGGAAATGTTAAGCTCTCTAAGATATTGTAGGAACTTTGAACACTTAACAACATATTTACAGAGATTTTATCTTTTCTATTGTCAAGTAACAACAGGGTAGGTACTGTCACCACATACAATACATATAAAAAAAAAATATAATATTTAAAAAAAAAGACATGTCCGCTGAGTTTCTTGCCAGTTCTTCTCAGGACGGAGGCTAGTTTTTGTGAATTGGCGGTAGTTCTTTTTGACGTTCAACAAGTATGTACTTTCATTTATGTTGAATCATTTTTTTTTTGTTGATCTGTTTTGATTTGATACACATTGCTACCCGCGCGCCATCTACCGTCCGGTGCCCGTACTCTTACAGAACCAATATTTACATTAAACGAATATTGTGAGATCCGGTAAATTTCACATTTCAGCTCTCTGACCTTATGTACAGATAAGTGCGCATTGAAAACATTATTTGAGAATAACAACAGTTTTTTTTTTTTTTTATTGTTTTTTTTTCAACCTGTATTTTAAACTGTTCTGATTATATTTTAATTTTTTTACTAATCATCAATAACTTGATTAATAATTATAGAATAATTTTATTTTATTAGTATATAAAAAACAACATTCTAAAAACACAATCACTTAAAAAATTACGACTTAAAGCTCTGGAATTGTCTTGATTTAGTAAGTATTCTTAATTATTATTATTTATTAAGTAATTACAAACGAGCTCCTAATGGCAAGGCCATCGCACTGAGACATGAGGTCCGAGTCTCAAGTGTACTGTATTAGTGGCATGCAACTTGGACTGCTTCGGGACAGTGGCTATGAGCTCTTCAATACTAAAGTAAAATTATCCAACATCAACGGAATCATCTTAAATAATTAAAAACATGACGATGAACGAATAATCAATAATGTATGAACGCTTTGAAATTCCTACATTTATTATACGGTCATGCGATGAAAGACTTCCAAAAATTAACAAATACATACATTATTAATTCTATATATTTATAAACATTAAATCTATACTAAAACACAACACGTAAACAACCCTAGACAATTTTTAAACAGCAAAAATCTGGTAGTTTACATAAAGTTAGATTACATAAAGTCGGCTTACATGAGTGAATGGGTTGATCGCCATCCAAGCACGCGAGTGGAGACTCCGCGGGGCGGCGGCCGGCGCTCCCCTAGTCCCCCGACCCCGGACTCCACATCATTAAGTACTGGGATTGTTCTACGCTCACATTACTGTTCACTTTATTATCCTTTCCTTCGAGAATGCCCCTCACATCCAGTGTACAGGGTGTGGTTTTTTAACAACAAAAAAAAACTAAGAGAAAAATACCTCTGTGATATTGTTGACTTACCACACCAATAGCATGCGGTCTGATTGTGCGCCTGTCCTCCCACGCCTCAGCGTAAACGCTTCTAAACTTAAAACCAACTTATTAATAGAATATATTAATCCAACTTGAACATTGAGCTATTTAGGTCGGACTGTTTTTGTCTTTTTGAGTGAATGCGCAATAAAACTTCTAATACTAATCATCAAATAGCACAATGACATCAACACCAAAGATATAATGCAACCTACTGACTATAGTACACATATTCACTTGTCCATTAACTTCTCAATCATCTTGCCAATATCCTGACTTCCCGAAGATGCTGGTCTTTTTAATCGGTGCCTGGGAGTGACTTTGGGCACACAACTCTTCAGAGGTCTATTACTGGGAACTGGAAATATTTCCAATTTAGAATGCCCTCCGAGTCCGTCGTAGCAGATATTGTTCTGTGAGGACTCCATCTCGACATCTGGATCTAACGTTACTGGCTCTTTTTTGGCAAATATGCTCAATGATTTATTGTCTAATGGCTTCTTCGAGACAGTGCTTCTGGCTGAGTTTATTATAGCTAACTCCGATGGCTGTGAATACAATAAATAATATTTAATAAACATTCAGTTTTAATGAATTTTATTGGATACCACCAGCTGTGACCAGTAAGTATATTTTCAATCATTAAAATAGATTCTATTTTAATGAAATTAAGTGACACCACCCATTTTATAGATAAACTTTCTGATATACGATTAGGAATGTAATTCAAATACTCTGGTTTTTTTTTATTGTTTAGATAGGTGGACGAGCTCACAGCCCACCGGTTTTGAGTGGTTACTGGAGCCCATAGACATCTACAATATAAATGCCGCCACCCACCTTAAGATATAAGTTCTAAGATCTCAGTATAGTTACAACGGCTACCCTACCGAAGCGTATTACTGCTTCACGGCAGAAATAGGCAAGGCGGTGGTACCTACCCGCGCGGTAGGTACCACCACCGTCCTGCAGTTAGAACGTAACAAAATTCGCACTAAGCACACGGTTTAGTAATTAGAGTAACAGTGAAATGTTTAATGTTTATGAAACAAGAACGGTTATCAATAATGGCTTACCTTGATCCTGTCTAGGGATAGGGCATGCTTCGGCGCCCTCTGCAACGCAGTTAGAGCCAGATTACTTTGTTTCAGACTTAGATACGGCGAATCTGCATTTTCTATACGGTCCACTAACGTCCTCTGTAAGTGTCAGATTTTGTGAAACATATATCTATGTAAAGAAAGTTATTCCTTTCTTTAATTTTAATTATGTCACGCATGCGCTGTCGACATGTGCCGGAACGTCTGCGCATGTGCTGTAAAGTGGAGAAGCCTTGACAGATAAATATTATGTCATTGTATAAAATTTTATGAAAAATAATTTCTAACTAGATTATAAATAAACTTTAAATGTCGTTTCTTTGTCCGAAATAACAAGCAACACATTGAAGTTTTATTTTAATAAACATATAATACATACAAAAAAAACAACATACCTAATAATCTTATATCTATATATTAATACGTGAAGCAAAAACTTTGTATCCCTTTTTACGAAAATTGCGTGGACGGAGGAGTATGAAATTTTCCACACTTATAGAGAATATAAAGAAGAAGTGCACTGTGCTAATATTTTTTTTAAATAATGCATAAAAGATACATTATATCAATAAAGAAAACATTACACACACTACATACCATTTATTTGACGCACACACGCATGCATACTATTTATTGTCAAACTTTTGTTCTTGACGTCTGTTGTCAAATTGAGAATAGATTAAATATTGTTTGTCCTTTGTTAATATTTTTTATAGTGTAGCCTTGGCGAAATTTGTGATTATAGAAGTATAAAATACAATCATAATAGTGTACAAACTTACAATTTCAATTGATTATAGTCGAATTTCGGCTACTGCGGGTCCCCTAGTCTTTATTAATTTGTACCAATATGTTAGTATACATCATTATCCTGTTCTCCCAGTCACCTGTTTTCATGCAACATGTTTTCTCCTTCCATACTCTTCTATCATATACCATTTCTTTGCTCACTCCCTTCTTACCCATATCGTCTTTCCCGCAAACCATTAATTTCTTCTTAGGTCTACCTCTTCCTCTATATCCTTCCACATTCATAGTTAACACTCTCTTACCAACCTCATTTTCATTTCGTCTCATCCCATGTCCATACCATCCCAAGCGCGCACTCCTCAGCTTGTGTGTCACAGGTGCCACTTTCAGACTTCCTCTAACATATTCATTCCGTATTCTATCCATTCTCGTTACTCCACACATCCATCGCAACATTCGCATCTCTGCTGCATTCAATCGCAATATGTTAGTATACATTGTTACTTAACACCTGGTGGGCCGTATGCTCATTCAGTCGTGTGAATTTGATAATAAAATACAATTTGACACTTCTACCTTTAAGTCCTGTCAGAGATGAGAATTTGAACAAAGAAAAAATGTTAAAAAAATAAATAATAGTTTAAAAAACCTAACAAAATACGCTTTTATAGAAAATCCAACTAAAAAAAAGGAAAATAAATTTGAATTCAAAATAGTGTAAGAAAAAAATATTTATTTATTAAAAGAGTGTAAAAAAAGCGTGGGGTGCATGGTACCTGTAGTTATAAATATTTTAAGAGTTGAAGGGTTACGCGCTTTTTACTGGTGGTAGGATCTCTTGAGAGTCCACGCGGGTAGGTACCACCACCCCGCCTATTTCTGCCGTGAAGCAGTAATGCTTTTCGGTTTGTAGGGTGGGGCAGCCGTTGTAACTATACTTGAGACCTTAGAACTTATATCTCAAGGTGGGTGGCGCATTTACGTTGTGGATGTCTATGGCCTCCAGTAACCACTTAACACCAGGTGGGCTGTGAGCTCGTTCACCCATCTAAGCAATAAAAAATAAAAAAAACACTTTTTAATTCAATTTTATTTTCTATTTTTTAGTTGGATTTCCTATAAAAGCGTATCTGTTATAATAGTTTTTTTAAACTATTATTTATTTTTGATTTTTCAGTTGAATTTAAATATTTTCTAATTTTTTTTTTAATTTTTTCTTTATTCTTTGATTGTCATCGTTTCTTAACAAGTATACCAAATTTTGAGTTAATCCGGCATTTTGAAGGGGGTCATAATCATGTTCAAAGATTCCGTTACATACATACATATGTCTGATGCTAATAAAAGCGTATTAAAATGAAGTGACTTACAATGCTGGTATTATTAGTGGTATTCAAAGATTCAACGTTCTCCAAGCTCGGCCGCATGTGCTTGAGAGAGTGCGCCTCCGCGTGAGCCGGCTTGTCATCAATACATTTCTCGGTCATATCTCCGGCTTTCCTTTTGGCCAGTGCTTGATATTTCCTTTCCATGTCCGTCAGTTTATCTTCTGCATGGCTGCAAATGCACATGAAAATTCCAGATTATTTACCAAATTCACTCCAAATATGTGGTTTAATTACTATAGATACTTTTTTTAATTAATTTATGAGAACACTTAGAAAAATACCTATTCAGGATTTGATTGAAAATTAATGCAATTAATTACACTTGTAAGAGAACTACTGTCTGCTAGTATAAAATTGTTTTTGTCTAATGAAATTTACAGAACAGTGATGTATGTCAATAATGTGGATGGAACATTGGGAGGGTAGAACATAAATCAAAAACATTCTTATCTAAAGGACAGTTCAAAAAAAACATAATAAAAATTACTTTAAAAAAAGTTGTAGCTTTAACTTGTATTTTTCTTAAAATAAAAAACTAATATTTTTTTTTAAACCCTAGAACCCTACCCAGGGCGCTCGTGCACGCTGCTTGATATTTAAAGTAATGTTATATACTACATATGTAATACATGTGAATGTGGCAACAAAGCTTTGTTTTTTTCATTTATTTTCTTGTATTTGCATGGCAGTCACATTTCATGTGCTAGTCACTAGTTGTTAAAGAGATTCGTTGTAACGTACTTATGTAAGATACCGTTACACGCAAGGGTTCGGGGTAAATAAAAATTCTACCGAATTACAAATTAACACTGTATGAACACTTAAAACCCTTAACGAACACTTTAAAATTCTCAATTCACTTCTTCCGCTTCGCTTCAGGTGATCCGTTCTCTGCTTCACTTCGAGTAGATCCGATTACTGACTGCGTACCATCTCTACAACGTTTTTATACTCGATACGACATCCCTAGATTTATCGAGAACATTCTGGACAAGTCGAGTAATTTCGATATATGTTTCCGCTATTTGATAATAGATGGCGTTGTACGTCAGGATTTTACTAGTACCTTCGATATTCGTTTCTGCTATAAGGCCATAGACGGCGTTACCTTTACCGGCGTAACAATACTTATGTAAAATCCATATATATTAAAATGAATTGCTGTTCGTTAGTCTCGCTAAAAGTCGAGAACGGCTGGACCGATATGCCTAATTTTGGTGTTGAATTATTTGTGGAAGTCCAGAGAAAGTTTAAAAGGTGGATAAATATGAAAATGCTCGGAATTAATTAAAAAAAAACAATTTTGTTTTCCCTTTGATGTGTCCCCCGTCGGACGGATTCCTTTTGTTTGTTTTAAGTTTATTTTATACAAAATTTTAGGTATTTTATTTATCGATTGAGGCGCTACGAAGTCTGCCGGGTCAGCTAATTAGACTATATTTTCTTATTTATTTACAGAGTGCACATGTACACGAGGTAGTGAGTACTCACAGCAACTTGGCCTGCAAGTCCCTTACGTTGAGCTTCTCGGCTGCGATCTGTTGCTTGGCTGCGTGGAGCTTGTCGCGCGACTCGCGCTTCTTGGCTTCCGATTCGCAGAGACCTCTGTTGGAAAAAATACGGGTCGCTAAGAACACGAACATCGGTGATGGGCAAAGACATCCAGTTATGATGTCTAGACACAAGTGCAGCCAGTTTTTTTTTTTGTTTTCTTTTTGTTCCTGCCTATTCGCTGGTAGCGTAAAGTGTGTCCGGTCACTGTCCTCGTCGAACCCGTCGCCCGCGATGAAGGGCTCGACGAGCGAATTAATCCATAGACACAGTCCACTGAGTTTCTCGCCGGATCTTCTCAGTGGGTCGCGTTTCCGATCCGGTGGTAGATTCTGCGAAGCACGGCTCTTGCTAGAGCCAGTGTTAGCAACACTCCGGTTTGAGCCCCGTGAGCTCACCTACACGCGTTAGGGTGAAGCTGAAATAACGTCTCAAGGCTATCAGCATAGGTAGGAAAAAAAAGCGTAAGGGGATATTCCAGCTATGGAGAGATTGCTAAAAATGGCTTTAGCAAGTGCAGTGCTTCACAGAACCTAGCACTACTAGGTCGGAATCGCCACTCGCTTAGAAGATCCGGCGAGAAAACGGGCAGTGACCACTTGAAACCATCTAAAGCTATGTTGACGTTAAATAGATTTGAAAAGAGGACTAGAAAAACCAGTAAGTATAATGCAATACAATGAGTCAGCAGTAGTACTGCTATCTATTTCTGCTAGAAATCAACTATACAATGTATTTTAAGGAGTAATACTGCAATACCTTTTTGAAGTCGTCGTGGCCTAAAGGATAAGACGTCCGGTGCATTCGTGTTAAAGCGATGCACCGGTGTTCGAATCTCAGGCGGGTACCAATTTTTCTAATGAAATACGTACTCAACAAATGTTCACGATTGACTTCCACGGTGAAGGAATAACATCGTGTAATAAAAATGAAACCCGCAAAATTATAATTTGCGTAATTACTGGTGGTAGGATTTCTTGTGAATCCGTGCGGGTAGGTACCACCACCCTGCCTATTTCTGCCGTGAAGCAGTAATGCGTTTCGGTTTGAAGGGTGGGGCAGCCGTTGTAACTATACTTGAGACCTTAGAACTTATATCTCAAGGTGGGTGGCGCATTTACGTTGTAGATGTCTGTGGGCTCCAGTAATCACTTAACACCAGGTGGGCTGTGAGCTCGTCCACCTATCTAGGCAATAAAAAATAAAAAAAAAATACCTATCTCACAGCGATTGCACCGCAATTGATGTTAATTTCTGTTCACCAGTGGCATTGAGAGCTTTAGTTTATCATTCCATAAAATGAACATCAAGTATCAATCAATTTATAATATTCAGATTATGTATAGTGCCCTATACTACATAGACAGCAGGCAGATTACTCTATGTTCCGGTTTGTGTTCATCTTAATATTCAAATTGTGTTACATGGAATGTAAAGCAAAAAAATAGTTAGAAAAAAATATTTTCGATATTCATTTTAAAAAACAGTAGGGAGTGGCTTGGCTCTGCCCCTGGCATTGCTGATGTCCATTGGCGACGTTAGCCACTCACCATTAGGTGGGCCGTATGCTTGTCTACCTACAAGGGCAATAATAATTAAATTAATAATTAAAAAAATGTTCTGTTGTTTTTTTGTATGCTCTACCTACTACCAGACTTCATTTTCCACAACAGTTCCAAAACACTCTGTGCACGTCAACTTAAATAATAATGCTTGATCAAATATTAGACCATACCTTTTAAGAGCAGTAGCAAATATAGCAACAGTTTTAACATCTGTGTATCCTTGGAGCATCTTCTCTACGTCTTCACATGTTGCATTTAATATGTTATTTAAACTGAAATTTAAAAAAAGAATCAGTTTTTTTTTCCTACCTATGCTGAGAGCCTTGAGAGGCTATTTCAGCTTCACCCTAACATGTAGGTGAGCTCACGGGGCTCAAACCGGAAGTGTTGCTAACACTAGCCCTAGCAAGAGCAGTGCTTTTCAGAATATACCACCGGATCGGAAATGCAACCCACTGAGAAGATCCGACGAGAAACTCAGCGGGCTGTGTCTATGGCTTAATTCGCTCGTCGAGCCCTTCATGGCAAGCGACGGGTTCGACGAGGACGGTGATCGGTGCTAGAGGTACCTAAAAGCACCGATAATGGATCGAGAGGATCCGTAATGACGTGGAAGAATCACTAGTATTTGAAATTTTCAAACAAATTCAAATAGTTACATATCACTATGTTGTGTTTTACTCTATATTGCACTATGTTGCACACTTTAACATCAGATTACTACAATTCCCGATTCAATGTTGCAGGAAAAATAGGTGCATTACCCTCTGCATTGCTCTTTCAGTGACTTTTAGGCTTTTGATAAGGCTCATTGTCAACAACTCCTCACTATGATGCTTCCCAAACACTCTTTTACAGAGCAACCCAAACATTATTTCACAAAGCTTCCTGAACACTATTTCACTACGCTTCTTGAATGCTGCCCATCCCAGTTAGATTAGCTCATTTTCCCCAGGTAAACATACTCATCAACAACTAGGAGAGTATATGTTCTGATTTTTACTTGAGTGGACACTACATGGGCATTCAATATTAAATTCGTCTTGTATGTGCTTGACACATTAGCATTTTCTTAAAAACATTTTAATACACATACATGTATCACTAATTAACTCGGCAACATTAAAGAGACTACATCCCAGCCCGGGTCTTGACTGAATTGTAGCTTTATCATAGTCTACATTGGGTAATGTTATGGACTTTTTTGATGAGGACCATTGCTTTTCTGAATATTAAAATTAACTTACCCATTTAACAATTGTAAATTCTGCTTCATTGTTTCATTTTCCTCTTTTAACTTGACTGTCTCTTTGTTTTGAATTTTGAGGTACTCCATTTGTTCTCTCATAGCAGTCATTGCAGAATCTCTGCTTACCAACTTCTTTTCATATGATTTTAATAGAGCTCTAGAATATATTATGTTTCATTGAAAATGAATCTATTTAATTTTTAAAACATCATCATCAGTCGCAATATGTGTGTGTGATAACTCATTTTATACTTCATATTATTAAGGTAAGAAGGTTGCAACACTATTTAGCTCACAGTGCTTTTGATCTTAGGTGATAGTCATAAGCAACAAAACTATACCAGACAGCTGCTGTCCTCTTTTTTACAGAAGTTAAATTTTCTAGATTGTTTAAATTTACAAATTAATTTATCAGTAATTTAAACTTCTTATTGAAAGTGAAAAAAACAAGAGTGAATGCAAAGAAGAGCCACTACCTTCAGAAGTATAGCAGGCAAAAACCTAACAGGCTTCTCTTTTTAAATATTACATTATTGTAAATTTTTCAAGTTACTAAAATAGAAATAACTTTGTTCACTAATTAATACCTTTTTAAAAATACTCTAAAATCATTACAATATTTTTAGACCACTAGTAACACAAGCCTATGCTTATTCCTGCTATTCATGTTTTGTAAATCAGTGACTGAGGAATTTAGAATAGAATATCTTAGCTTGGGGTATAATGGTTCTTGTAACAACTTAACATCACACAATCATTGAACTACGATGTTGATTGTATGGGGAAAAGCTATCAGTTGTCAGAGTTCAAAACACAGAGATATCTTACTCATTCTTTTTTAGCTCCCCTATTAAATCAGATATTTTGTCCTCTTTATCTCTGCACACAGATTTTTGTTGCCTGAGCTGTAATTGTGTGTCATCCAATCTAGACTGTAAAGTAGCTGAGTCTTCACCGCTTGTCACATCATTTGATATTGTAGGATACATTCGGAACATGCATTTCTCTGTGACTTTGTTGCGGCATTGCGGGCAGGATTTTGACCTGGTAAAAAAGGTAAACGGCTCAAACAACATTTTATAGCTAATATGATGGTTTGGTTTTAATGTACCTAGATTAATCACTTACACAGAAAAGTTACCAGATACTATTGCTTGTAATGAACAAAAACAGGATAAGCTGATAATACAATATTAGCTGATTACAATTATCTTCAAATAGAACCAATCATCAAAAGCAATATTATTTTAACAATAAATATTAAAAAAGTGAATTGTTTGAAATTCCCTCACATTTTGCATAGTATTACGTTTCATGTCCGTGCATGAAGACATGAATGGTAATTCTCAGAAAAAGTGGAAGTGGACTGGCCACATATGCCGTTGCACTGAGAACCAATGGGGCACAATAATACTGGAGTGGAGACCTCGTACTAGACGTCGTAACGTGGGCAGACAGCCAACGAGGTGGACCGATGACCTGGTCAGGGTGGTTGGTAGGGACTGGATGCGAAAGGCCAGAGACCGAAAAGAATATGGTGCATTCGAAGAGACCTACACTCAGCATTGTGTGGACACGGGTTGAAGAGATCATTCACGTTATTAAATCATTCCAACAAAAATTATTTATTACCTTTCAATCCACTGTATAAGGCAGTGATGATGAAATATGTGACCGCATTTTGTCACATATATACTTTCAGATTGATTTATTAGGTCGCTGCATATAGTACAGAGGATATGCATTTTCTGCAATCAATTTCTTACATGAAATTTCGTTTTGATTGGTTTACAGACGGTTTCTTTTTCTATAACTGGAGATTACGTATTTAAAAACAAGCAAAAGCATACTAGGTATTCTTTGTATTTTTCTAATAATTCTCTGCAATTCTCAAAACGGAATTTAGTTTTACCTTACCCGCAAATTCTAGGCAAAATATGTTGAATTGAATACAATAAATTTTATGTATGTACTATGAGACCTTATATCAGTTTATTTTTTCATAATCATCTCAGAATTAGGTATGTGGTATATTCATATTGATTATCAATTTATGTCATTTTTATTTCATTAACTGAAAGTGTCTACAACGAAATCAAATCTCAAAAACATTACAATTCTATCATTCAGATTCAGATTTCAGACATCCAATGAAGTGTAGGTATTATTTATGATCCAATGATTTTTTAGTTGCTTTACTAAATTGAATAGGCAAAGGTAACTAAGATCATACAAATATGAGTAAGCCGAACCCAAGTCTTTTGGGTGAAAAGTAAATTAAATCACCTTTCAGCTTAAAAGGATCATATACAATATGTATATTATTTAACTGAAGAAGCTCTAGATGATAAGTGATTACCATTTCTCTTGAACACCAGCACCACCAACACTACCAACCTAGAACACCAGCACTACCGACAGGGCAGCAGGGTCGCCTACCGCTAACAACCCTCCTTAAAACTTCTGAATCGGAACGTCATGACTTAACAAAACTTAAGAAGTATATTGAGGAAAGAAAAATTCAGGAAATATTGAAGGGAATTAATTTCAAAGCTAAAAAAGTACAGTGATGATGTTGATTAAAAAATGAGCATAGTAGTTCTAGATGAATCGTTAGATGATGCGGTGGTAAAACAAGATGACGGAATCATCTCAAAAAATCGTTCGAACATTAAGATGTACTACATATTGTCTATGGAGGGTAGAGGCAAGGAGAACCGTCTCATATGGGAGAAACATGCAAGTGTCCCACTTTCAGCACTAAATAACAGTTCAAAAGTCCTCCAGAATGGCGCTACGACAGGCGCAGGGCAGCGGCTTGGCTCTGCCCCTGGCATTGCTGAAGTTCATGGGCGACGGTAACCACTCACCATCGGGTGGGCCGTATGCCCGTCTGCCTATAAAGCCAATAAAAAAAAATGTAAGTTTGATTAATATTGTCCATCACTGGTAATATTAAATTACAAAAAATAGAATAGGATTCTCTGTGTATTCGCGTCCGTAAAATCCAGCGACCAGTGATAATTTAACAAAATTTAAGTTTTGTTAAAATTTCGTTCGTCGCTTCATAAATAATCGGTACAATTTTTTTTTTCTCATTTAACTTTTTTCACAACCATATCGACGCTTGAAAGGCAAACGTGACTAAGCGAGAATAACTGCTTTATACATAAATGATAGGCAATAACCATATTCGATGCGCAAAAAATAGTTGACATTTCTAGGTCTATTAAGATTTTTTCAATCCTACAGCTAGATTCGTTAAAATAGGTTTTTTTTTCAAGTTTTACAACTTGAAATTAGTCTACTGTAAAGTTCACGCATTGTCGCTTAGTCACGTTTGCTTTTCAAGCGTCGATATAGTGTTTGTCGAACACGTGATTGAATACAACACTTTTAAAGCATAAATCTGAATTTTCGACCGAAATCTCACAGAGGGTTGGTACGAGAAATTCTCCAAAATACTTCATGGACGCACCTTTACTAGTTGCCAGGATATGAAAAGTCATAGTCTATGCCGATAGCTAGATGGCTGTTTCATGACCTATGCAAGTGTATTGTTCGCTCACGCAGCCCGCATTAACATAAAATCACTCCAAATTATTCAATCCCGTTTTTGCAGGATAGCCGTCGGAGCTCCGTGGTTCGTCAGGAACGTAGCCTCCATGACGACCTGGACTTACGAGTCCATCAGTAAGTATTTACAATCGGCATCGATGCGCCACTTCGACAGTGGCACGACACGAGAACCCCCTCATCGTGGCCGCCGGTAACTACATTCCGATCCTGCGGACAGAATGGAAAGCAGTCGACGTCGCCCAAAGCACGTAATTTCGGATCCTCCCTATTCACACTAACGGTGCTTTTGGGTACCTCAAGCACCTGTCATCGTTCTCGTCGAACCCGTCGCTTACGACGAAGGGCTCGACGAGTAAATTAACCCACAGACAGTTTCTCGCCGGACCTTCTCAGTGGGTCGCGTTTCCGATCCGGTGGTAGATTCTGCGAAGCACGGCTCTTGCTAGGGTTCGTGTTAGCAACGTCGTCAGGTTTGAGCCCCGTGAGCTCACCTACTAGTGGTTACGCTTAGCTTAGGTAGGTAGGATATGGCTGTTCCAAATAATATCATACATAATATTCAAAATATTTATTAAATGCTAAAAAACATATCATAAAACACGAAGACAACATTTTTTTACATTTCAATTGCTTGTTAATGCAACAATTGCTTGTTCATGATACATCTTTTCTATACATTAAAATCATATTTAACTCGAAAAATGCAGAAGGTAATTAAGAAATAAACTATTTTATTTTTGTTTTCAAAGTTTATCTCGGAATTTAAGAAAAGTCTAATTATTATAGAATGTTTTCATTAATTTTATATATTTTAAGATATCAACAGAAAAATAAAAAAAGGTTTCCGTGACGTATAGCTGACGAGGTTTAATTTGTTTAAAAATTGTGAGCTTTCAGTGACTCACTAGACATTTTATGTGTTTATCTAAAACTAGTAACGAATCTTATTCGAAAGATGTTATGCTATAATACAAAACTATCAGATGCATACACATTAAATATAAACATTAAATATATAATAAAATCAAGAAATTAAGCAAAGAATATTAAAATAACATATCAATAATTAAAATTAGGTATTGTACTGTCATTACGATTCATTGATACAATCACAGAGCACGTAAATCTATCTTATCTATGAGGTAGATTATATAAAAATAAAAATAAAAACTACATAAATACGTTTAACAAACGCTTTGAAGTAGAACTTGCAAAGATGGTCAATCAGAGTTCATTCGTATAAGTCGCCGTCACAATTAAGTTCCGACACATTAGTCTCTTGTCGACAACTCGCGGCTGCTAATTGGGCATACACTATTTACCTTACCGATGGATAAAATGAAACTTATTTCGATACATGAACTAACATATTATTTCTTAAGTTTTCGAGGCACACGATTTTAAGAAAAATAAAAACCCAAGACACAATTTTTTTTTATATAAGAATATATATATAATCATTCAACTCGATTATTTTGCATAAATCTTTACATGAAAGGAAAATAATAATAATAACATTTTACTAAGTCACTGGTGCTAATCACTGGAGACTGAAAACCTTTTTGATTAAATATTATGCTTTATTACTACCTTGTACTATAGAAAATGGATTAAAATGTGTTCCTCCGACCATATAGCTAAGCAAAAGGTTGGACAGTTTTTAACTTCCCTAACCCCAAAAAACATAATATATAAACAGAAATTCATAAAAAAACTTCTGTACTTATGTACGCACGCAAGAAGTTACACTTCTTTGGTTGACTGAACTGAAATATAACACATCCTCAACGAAAATAAATGCACGTGGCGTCACACGCCCCAAAATTACAACTATGATCCGTTTGCCTAAGCCAAATAGCCAAAATCAGTATTTCTTCACAAACAGCCACACATTATTTTTTCACTGTCTATCTCAGTACTGAATTTCCGAAGTTTAGATAAACTTAAAAAATAATAGGTAACCTACGGTACCAGCGGGTCTTTTGCTTTTTTTTTAAGGTATATTATGACCTAGTAAGACCTTTAAGTCATGTCTTATTTTAATTTACATTCATATTTTTATGAAAAATGATATTATGGAGTGAAATGAAATGAAGATGATTAATTTGAGACATTAGTCAACTGGGATGAAATGAAATGAAATGGGATGCAATATAATCTCAGTAAAATGGGGGTCATTTACTAAAAAACATTCAGTGGACTTTTTGGAGGATCCCGAGAAGTTACGTCTAGCCCACATTTGTGCACTTTCACAGATATTAAACAGTTAATAAACCACCATTATTACACATTTAAACCCGAAGAAACACCTAAATAGATAAAATAAAATAAAATCACACAACTTCACTCTTCGCGTTCCCGCCAAAAAGTCCGCGGGTTTTGCTTTTCCACTTGAATGTTGCCAATTTTCGCTGATGAGGTACCTACAGGATTTAGGGGATTCAGACGTTCGCCAAATGTATTCGTATCATTAACGTCGCTTTTTATCAAGGAATTCGGCTTGTCAATAATTTCAATTAATTAGCTTCGAATGAATCAATGATACGAACCAGTGCGCTAACGTCAGTAAAGTAGCCAGATGATCTCACACCACACGAGTCTGTTCGTCTATTAATTAGAACCTACACATACGTGGAAAGCAGAATACGGCTCGCCGGTTGGTAAATGACCACAGTCGTCCATGGACATCAGCAATTCCAAACCACAAAGAAGCCACTGCCTGTCGTTGGGTCTTCGTGTCCCCTTGCGGGGGCACGGGTCGGGCTTCAGAGCAGTCTCCTCTGCCCGGGCTTGGACTCCTTGCTTAACGAGGCAGGACTGATGATTATGCTTGTTGGTCATTTTCTTGAGCCAATGAAATGATATGGTTGAAGCGATGGTTAAGATGTGATGAGGTAATGAGACATTCAAATGATTGGTGATGAGTTGGATTTATGAGATGAGTGACGATCATGATCTGTATGGTTCTGATCATAATATAATGGTGGGTCCATTCCCAGGAGGTGAGGGAGGGATGGTCGTCCCCTCCAGATCTTCTCTTCTTTCTTCATACCACTGCCACTGGATGTAGCCTAGCATGTTCTAAATAAACACCCTTAAGTAATATAGAAAAAATATATGTAATTACTATTGTATTTTTTTAGAATCTGTGTATACAGTTGTAGTACTTACCCTGCAGCAATCTGCTTTCGGCGTGTGACGTATGCTTTGAGCAAACCCCTGAAACTGTATCGAATAATAATTGTACTGTTACTTTCTCAATATGTGTTTTAGGGCTCAGACTATAATTAACATGTTACTACACGACCAACATGTGAAGTTAATCCTTTGACTGCGGTGTACTATAGTTCTGTTTATCTACCAATTTCCGGTTTAAAGAACTGTATGGTTGTTATAACTAATGGAGTAGAGGATTCGATCATGTCTATGGGCGATGCCGTCACAGGCGGCCGGGCAGGTGTCAATGAATGAGTTAGTGACTGAGTGAGTGAGTGAGTGATATTCGACCGATAAATCCAATATTTACCTCTCGATGACGATCCGTAAATTTTTCGTCATAGACTGACCGATTTTTACTTTAGTTCCAATATTTAAGTTACTTCTGCTTAAAGTTTTTATATTCGTTTTAAAATTGGCTACTGCTATTCGATGGGGTCCCATCGCTCCCCCATGGGAACCATTGGCCCTCCCGCATTCGGTGATTACATCGGAGAGTCTGAACAAATACAAGTTTCAAATTTAAACCAACGTACAAATGTCTTGCTTGTTATGCCTATTGCCGTGGTCAGAAGTCGCCGGGTGTCACCCCATTGGGTGCCGGTGAGGTGTCCACAGTAGCACTCACAGCACGTTCCCTACCGTCCCTGCCGTCGCTTAACAGTTCACATGTTCACGAATCTACTCCCTCAGGTTAGAGCCCCGTGAGCTCACCTACTCGCTCGGTGACGCTGACATGGCCCTCTAAGGCTACCAGCTTAGGTATGGGAAAAAAACAATCTATTTACGTCTTATTGTGAGCACAAGTGTCACGAGCTGGTCATTCGGTAATTAAGGTGCAAAATCATCTCTAAAACAACAACAGCTAAACCGGTGTCTAACAAATATGGTGCCTAGAGGAATCATTGTTACAGTTACTTGGTTAATAAAAAAAATCCCCAATAGGTACTCGTCAAAGGTGGGGATTTACAACTCTATTAAAACTCTACAAAGGTCAACAAATGAACTGTTGGCAGTGGTAGTAGTGATTATTTATCAACTACATTTATTATATACTAGCTGTACCCGTCCGCTTCGCTGGGCATTTAAAATTAACATTATTATTTCTCAACCCCACAAAGATTCTCATCATTAACGTCCCCGCAACTGGTGTAGGGAGTCCAACACTCATATAAATATTAGCCTATCCATTAAGTACATGTATTTCTACATGTATACCAAGTTTCAAGTCAATCGGATGCACGGTTCAGTAGTTATAACGGAACATCCATAAAAACCATTGTAGATTTATATATTAGTATAGATTCTGTATGTTGTTATGATACACACATACATGCATTTATTATGATGTTCCTATGTGTTCCTGTATGTCCTATTATGTATGTATTTTCACTTATTGTTTTTCTCACTGCCGTACAGACGAGGGACGGTCCAGCTAATTTTAAGGGGATATCATAGCGGTCACACCGAGAATATCAGCGTTCAGCTCAAGACACAAGGTCAATGCGTCAATGGCGCAGTACAGACTATTGCGATAAGATCCTTGAGAAACAATGACGACAAACCACTCACTTTTCTATAATACGAAGTACATCTTCTATTAGAGACTGATTCCATGTTTTTGCATCCGTGTATCTTGCTAGCATTTCGTTGCGACTCTTATTATTTTTAATTTCTATTATTTTCTTTTCATACATATTCGATTCCTCCCTGTAATCGAGAATAATACATTCTGGAGATATAGGCATAGTGATACACAAATGAAGGTCGTCGTCGTGGCCTAATGCCGAGTTTACATTACGAAATTAGTGTCATGCATGTTGAGCTCAGTTTCACGAAAGTAGTTTCGATATATGCGAAAGTAATTTCGTTAAAAAATTAGTGTCGCGAAATCCACAGTATAGCAGTAACCATGGCGCCTTCAGCATCAAAGCTATAATTTGCTATATTCAATGTAGCTAAAGAAATGCTTATATACCTATAAACTTAAAAAAAGACTATCAAGAAAAGAAAAAAGTTGGTAGATTTGAGGATGGTTACCAAGAAGGCATTTAGGTGCAATGCTCTGAATTAGCAGATGAAGATCCTGAGAGCTATAAAAACTATTTTCGAATGAGTGAAGATAATTTTGATTTTTTACTGTAGTTGTCGCTGATATTCATTAATAAGATCTATTTTTTTTCTGTACTCCATCGTTGGTTTGCAATTTTCAACGCTTGAAGCGCGTCCGAACTAACAATACACACGTCCGCACAGCGCAGGCCCTTTCGCGACATTAGTTTCACGTCGCGTCTACACTATGAAATTAGTTGCATGACACTAATTTCACCAAAAAATCGCGCAGGGCACGAAACTAAATTGCATGCATGAAATTAATGCATGCATTACGAAAGTATTAAATTACACGTGAAACTGTTGGTAAAACTAATGTCACGAAATTAATTTCACGCCACTAATTTCGTAATGTAAATTCGGCTTAAAGGATAAGACGTCCGGTGCATTCGTATCGCATCGCTCGATACGAATGCACCGGTGTTCGAATCTCAGGCGGGTACCAATTTTTCTAATGAAATACGTACTCAACAAATGTTCACGATTGACTTCCACGGTGAAGGAATAACATCGTGTAATAAAAATGAAACCCGCAAAATTATAATTTGCGTAATTACTGGTGGCAGGACCTCTTGTGAGTTCGCGCGGGTAGGTACCACCACCCTGCCTATTTCTGCCGTGAAGCAGTAACGCGTTTTGGTTTGAAGGGTGGAGCAGCCGTTGTAACTATACTGAAACCTTAGAACTTATATCTCAAGGTGGGTGGCGCATTTACGTTGTAGATGTCTATGGGCTCCAGTAACCACTTAATATCAGGTGGGCCGTGAGCTCGTCCACCCATCTAAGCAATAAAAAAAAAAAGAATAGTTCTTATAATGTAATTAAGCACCAAGTAATTAAAGAGCAGTATTTGAAGCCTGGCTGCCTGGGCTTGTGTGAAGTTCATATTCATCATCATCATCATTATCCTGTTCTCCCAGTCACCTGGGGTCGGCGCAACATGTTTTCTCCTTCCATACTCTTCTATCATATACCATTTCTTTGCTCACTCCCTTCTTAACCATATCGTCTTTCACGCAATCCATTAATTTCTTCTTAGGTCTACCTCTTCCTCTATATCCTTCCACATTCATAGTTAACACTCTCTTACCAACCTCATTTTCATTTCGTCTCATCCCATGTCCAAACCATCCCAATCGCGCACTCCTCAGCTTCTCTGTGACTTGTGCCACTTTCAGACTTCCTCTAACGTATTCATTCCGTATTCTATCCATTCTCGTTACTCCACACATCCATCGCAACATTCGCATCTCTGCTGCATTCAATCGCCTGTGAAGTTCATCTTGGTAAAGCGTAAATTTACAACTATAGTCTGAAATGCTGTTTCCTTAAGTATCCAAGCGTACGGCAGCTTTCACCTACGGCTCTAATGAGCCCATTTTGTCTTAGAGGTTTCGGTTACATTTTCCAAACCATGATCCGATACTTATTAGGGTGAGGTATTAGTGTGAAAATACAGAAAAACGAATAATATATTATACAATATATTTTAAAATTTTTGGTATATGAAGTTAAATACAAGTGGGAAGATCGATACTTTTTGGTTAATTAACACTGGCACACTAGTTTTATTTTAAAAGAAGAAAATATAAATGACAGAAATAAGATTGACATAACGATGTTACGAAGATGTATGTAGTATTTTTTTTGAAAGAATAAAAGATTTTGTTGTTAAACTAAATATCCACTAGATTTCGTCATACCATCCCACATCTTTTTGGGGGCTCGTCCGGGATGGACACCGTTCAGGATGTCGTTCGGTGATAAATTACAGTGGATTGACGAATTTCTACAGAGATAAGTTGAGTGCATTTTCGTTGTGCATCCAAGACTTCGAGACGTGTAAAAATAACGCTATTGATGAAGTTTTTTGTAACGTTATTTTATGCAAACTTATGAAGATTACTTAAGATTATTTACTGAAGATTGTTTAAGAAGAAGACTTATTCTGAAAATTATAATAACGACTACGACGACTATTTTCGAGTTCAACGAGACGATTATTATTATTTTTTTGCGTAAAAATCTATACACTATTTCTAAAGTAAAAAATGTCTCCTAAGAAGAATAATGATAATGACGAAAGAGAAGACGTCGAGGTGCATATCTCGTTTCGTGATTTGGAGCAGTCCATGACACCTTTCACCGGAGATGATACTTACCCGATTTCGGAGTTTTTTGATGAATTTGAAGATGTTGCTGATTTGATGAAGTGGACTAAAGTGGAAAGATTGATCTATGCAAAGAAACTTTTGGGTGGAACAGCAAAGCTATTTTTAAGATCTATTGGTAGAGTTAAAGACTATCCTACTTTGAAGGAAGCCCTTATTGAAGAATTTGGCCCTAAGTTTAATAGTGCTAAGATTCACAAGAAGCTTATTTCACGAAAGATAAAAAATGATGAAACTATACAACAATACTTTTTAGTTATGAAAGAAATAGCACTGCATGGAAGAGTGGATGATGCTGCTTTAATGGAATACGTCATAGATGGTATCAATGATCCAGAATCTAACAAAGCAATTTTATATGGAGCTACAGATTTGAAAGATTTTAGAAAGAAGCTAGACATCTACAGTGATTTTCGAAAGAAGCTGGACGTTTATAGCGATTTTCAGAAGAAAAAGAGTACACTATCATATCACCAGGCAGTTCCGCAAGTAAATGTAGAGCCAGGCACATCTTCATCAAGAAAACCGCATTTTAAAAGATGCTACAACTGTGGTGATTTAGACCATCAATACCCCGGCTGTACAAAGGGCATTAAATGCTTTAAGTGTAATGAATTCGGTCACAAGGGAAACGAATGTAAGAATGATGATAAAAAGTCTTTAATTATTCAGAAGAAAAACGAAGATGAAAAAATCCCTTACAAGAAAGTGTTATTGAATGGAACAGAGATGGTGGCTTTTATCGATACAGGTAGTGACGCGAACCTTATTATACAATCAGAATTTGAAAAAATTGAAAATAATATCCAACATTATGACAAGAAATCAGAAGTTCGTCTTACGGGTATTGCTAACAAAGAAGTACTTATCAAAGGTGTTTTTACTACTCAGCTACAGATTGATGATGCTGTTACGGATATCAAATTCTACATTGTGGAAGATGATATAATACCTGTAAAGCTGATCATTGGCAACCCCATACTGCGTGAATTCGAAGTTAAGTTTACAAGAAATGGTATTGTAATGGAGAAGATACCACTTTGTGCTATTGTTGTTGAGAAGGACGAGGTCAAAGAAGACTACAAGAAATTAAGAGAAGAAGATTACAAGAAGTTAGAGAAAGAAGACTGCAAGAAGTTGGTTAAAGTACCTTACCAGAATCATTTGACACAAAATAAAATACTATACAAAGAGAAGAATGGAAGTAGACTTATCGCTGTACCAAAGAAGATGGATAAAGAAATGAAAAGACAGAATTATAGGAGAGGACGACTAAAAGTTGAAGATTGGGACGTGAGGAGGTCCGATACATACGACTAGTCTAATTTTATTAAACTGTGGACTGATTCGTCTGAGGCAGACGAATAGGTAGGAATGGCCGAGTGGGAAGATCGATACTTTTTGGTTAATTAACACTGGCACACTAGTTTTATTTTAAAAGAAGAAAATATAAATGACAGAAATAAGATTGACATAACGATGTTACGAAGATGTATGTAGTATTTTTTTTGAAAGAATAAAAGATTTTGTTGTTAAACTAAATATCCACTAGATTTCGTCATACCATCCCACATACATATGTTTTGGTGTTATACAAATGTTTCTAATATTAAAATGCAATGCATAAAAAACGAAAAGTCCCTTTAGTTAGTGGCACGTTGCAATAGATATTCTATTTATCAGCCGAGACGTCCACTGCTGGACTATTAGATATTCTACTGGAGATATAACCCAAGGTTTGACGCCAGACCGCCTGTCGGGTCAGTCGTAAAACTTCTATCTCTATACAGCATGATAAGAAGACTTACTTAGAGAATAATCTTTTTTTTATTGCTTAGATGGGTGGACAAGCTCACAGCCCACCTGGTGTTAAGTGGTTACTGGATCACATAGACATCTATGAGATAAATGCGCCACCCACCTTGAGATATAAGTTCTAAGGTCTCAGTATCTTCGATTATTACGTCTATGACCAAGTTACTATAGTGTTTAAGCTTACCGTAACATTTTTGAGGCCTTACTTTGTTTCTCCGCATCACGTTTCAACATTTTACATTTCGTTTTTATAAGTTTTAATTCTCTTTTACTTTTATCGATTTCGGAGATCGCCTGTTTCAGTTTGGAGACCGCTTCTGGTTCTCCCTCGTAGTTGAATGTTAAATGCACGCGTATTATGGATGTTTTATCACAATCGTGGCGGCATTGGGGACAGGTCGTAGAGCTAAAAAGTTGTTGGACCTTTTTATTGTATTATATTACACCGTAATTACCTACATCGATTATAAGACGCACCCTAAATATTTCAAGCTCGAAATATAAAAATACCTATATTAAGTATTTTAAAATATTATGAAGTGTTGTATAAAAATTAAGTATCATAGGAATTGAATTAAGCCGTTTATTGTTCAAAGATTTTCATCGTCAGTTATAACCTTCCTTCCTTTACTTTCGGATTTTGGCAGATCCAGTTTGATCGTCAGAAGAACCTTCAAATTCACTTTCTGATTTAATTGATTTATTGCTTTCCCATAAAGTTATTTCCTAAACCAATAAGAGCGAGAGCGTCATCGGCGGTAGAGTAAATACTAGTCTACTGTTACGTCATTTCGGACCCTCCCGATCCACTATCGGTGCTTTTAGGCACCTAAAGTATCGGTCACCGTTCTCAACGGTTCGGCGAATAAATTACTCTCAGACACAGCCCACTGAGTTTCTCGCTGGATCTTCTCAGTGGGTCGCGTTTCCGATCCAGTGGTAATTTTGTGAAGCAGTGCTCTTTTTTTATTTGTTTTTTTATTGCTTCGATGGGTGGACGAGCTCACAACCCACCTGGTGTTAAGTGGTTACTGGAGCCCATAGACATCTACAATGTAAATGCGCCGCCACCCACCTTGAGATATAAGTTCTAAGATCTCAGTATAGTTACAACGGCTGCCTTACCCTTCAAACCCAAACGCATTACTGCTTCACGGCAGAAATAGGCAGGGCGGTGGTACCTACTCGCGCGGACTCACAAAAGGTCCTACCACCAGTGAGGGCTAGGGCTAGTGTTAGTAACGTCCCAGGTTAGCGCCCCGTGAGCTCGTCTATTCGTTCAACGAATCTATCATCACCCCTCGAGGTCACTAGAATAGGTTGGAGAAAAAAAAGATAATTGTCTACATTTTTTTTTTAAATATATGATAGGATTATCGATGCTGAAGGCCTTTGATGATAGATTTGATGATAGGTGGGCGTGCACGACTTAGTCAGGAGGGGTGGGATTTGATATCAGCTGTCCGAGCGCCTTTGGAAGAAACCTAACAGCTCTAGGGCATATGCTTCGAGAATGTACCTATTACCGAATCGAAATCGCGACCTGCTGAAGCAGATCTGATGGTATGGACTGATAAAAATATGCCTTTTATATTCGATGTATATAGCTACAGCAACAAGTAGCTTAGTCATTAATAAACAGGCAGTCTTTTCAGATAGCTAGATAAATTTAATTACCTGTTCAGCCATTTGTGTATGCAATTACTGTGGAACAAATGACCGCATGTTGTTGAAAGAATGGTTTCCCATTGCTTCATATTTTCGTGACAAACTGAACAAGCAGGTAGCAGCATATTCTGAAAAAAAAAAACGAAAATTTAACAGAGAAACAATAAAATTACATATTATTATGACGTCAATCTCAGAGACCGATGCATTGTGGTTTTCTAAATCTATTCATATACTAAATCATGACATAGAATATTTACGAAAAATTGCAAAAAGAAATATTTTTAGGAGACAACGAGGGTTAAATAAACCAAAGTAATTTAGGAAAATAATAATAAAGAACTCTCTCTCTCAAGGCATAAATGATGACCTTGAGATCTGGTGAGGAGATGAGATATCCTTCATTATTTAAGGCTTGTTGAGTCATCATTTCATATTCACACTGGGCGCTCTATGATAAAAACGAATGCTGTGGAAACCTCTGTCTCAAAAAGTTAAAAAATTATAATAATAGCTCTTTATTTGACACCAAATGTACAGAGGAAGCATATAAAACAAATAATAGATGGTGACATAAATTGGCGGCCTTATCGCTGAATGTGATCTCTTTCAGGCAACCTTGCAGGGATAAGTAAACTAGCATGGACGGTGCTATATCTTAATAAACTTACATAAAAATATATACTTATATACACATGTGAAAAATAAATACAATATAAGATAGACTTACATATGATTAAATACAAATAAATACTAAAAATATGCCAGTAAATACAAAATAAAATAAGTAGCAACTTATACAGTTATATCGTAGGAGCCATATTAAAAAAAAGAAGTATTTGAGGCTAGACTGCGTAAACTTGTAGAAAGATGTTCACAAACCTTTAATAATTGTGGAGGTTTTAACATCTTGACATACGGTGGGTCGACCATACATCACACTGACTATAAGGTGTATACGTGGCGTTACATTCAGTTATCAGTGTTAGCCCATCGATCTATGTCATCGGCTTTACCGATCACAATGAATCGCGCTCCTCTATCCAACAAGTTACAATATAATAATATGGAAACACTCATAGGAGATCACTCATCGTTTTTTATTTATTTTATTGTTTAGATGAGTGGACAAGCTCACAGCTCACCTGGTGTTAAGTGGTAACTGGACAACTACAACGTAAATGCGCCACCCACCTTGAGACATAAGTTCTAAGGTCTCAAGTATAGTTACAAAGGCTACCCCACTGATATCGGGTCTATTGTAGTTTTTCTTTTGCAATTTTCTTTTAAGCAATAATTGAACATTCACTTGTACACTCATCTGTTTTAATTAATTAACATTAAAATGTGAAATGTGTTTTAATTAATTAATATTAAAAATGACAATTCAGCATTTTTGCAATAAGTTTTCTCAAAGCTTATTCCATGTAAGCAATATTGAAGTTGGTCAATAGTAAGAAGGGTCAGAATTACTGCTAGAAAAAAGTATACATTGATGAACTTATTGTATCTTTACAATTAACCATATTCATCAACATGATCTTACAGCACTGAAAGTACACACACCTATATTCCAACTGGTTACAATCTTACAGGCCAGCTCACGTTCAGTGGTAAGCAAGGCTCGTAAAAATTACTATGTGAATGCCACCACCCAGCATGAGACATGAGGTCTAAGCCTCCATTTCCATTCGTGCTGTTTGTGTTACAGTACAATAAACAGCACAGTAAATGATTTTTATTTGACTTATGTAACCTCTCAAGACATGTATCTATTCCCTATACTGATAATATTGTGGTGGTAATGGTGGTATAATCATGACAAAAAATGGTGTTGGGGAAGAAAAATAAAATTTCTAAATAGATACTTTATCGGTTAGCCGTTAAGTAAAAACTTCTTCTAAAAATTCTAAAATTAAATAAAGAGTTATTATTATTATATCTATGATATTAAAATTTGTTGAACATGAATTTTTATGAAAACAAATACCTTTTTCTAAATTAATAGAAAAATAAGACAGTAGTATTACCTTGTAATGTTGTAATGCATGTTTTATGTGAAGTGATCTAGAGTCTAGACTGCTATTTTGTTAAATATCTAAGGTTATTGCGCATTATTTGTTAATGTCAGTTTGTTTGCCTTGCATCCGTATTTATTAGTATCATATAGTAGTATTAAAATTAAATTAAAACTAAATCATAAAACTTTCTACATTTCCTCAACAAAGTTAGTTCTTGAACTATGTACATTGTACATAACATACTACTTTTATTATTTATAAAATGACGCAATACTTTCATGGTATGTTAAGTAGGTTTCACATTTATGTTATTTCAGCTCATTATTATAGTATATCTATGATTATTACATTTTTGATTAGGCATTTAATATTATGGTTTGTAAGTGAAGTTATTTATTTTATACTTACATAAAGTGTTAATTTTAAACTTTTTTATGCACTGCCCGCCAATTTAAGCTTTGAAATTATTATTTTTAATGGATTTTATGACCTGGTAACTAAGACTTTTAAGTCATGTTTTATTTTATTATATTCTTATTTTTATGAAAAATGATAAAATGGAGTGAAATGAAATGAAGATGATTAATTTGAGACATTAATCAACTGGGATGAAATTAAATGAAATGAGATGATATGGGATGAAATATAATCGCAATAAAATGGTGGCAAATGGTACTGAGATTTTTTCAGTGGACTTTTGGAGGAACCCGACAAGTTACGTCCAGCAGCTTTGTTTCATTTTCCCACATTTGTGCACTTTCACAGATATTAAACAGTTAATAAACCACAATTATTACACATTTAAACCTGAAGGAACACAAAATAGAAAAAATAAAACTAATCACACAACTTCACTCCTCACGTTCCCACCAAAAAGTCCCTGGCTTGTCAAATAAAACTAAATGTTATCGGAGTAAATCGGATTGGTTCGACTCGAGAGTTTTCCAAGACTGGTTTAATTCAGATATCATACCATGGGCAGACAAACTGGATTATTCAAAGTTGATATAGTAGGTGAGGGAGCTCATATAGAGTCCCTTCTTTATTTCGCCTGGTCGTGTTTTATGTAATTAAAACCACAGTTGGAACAATATAAATTTTATTGTTGTAGCGGCATAAAGTAATTACATTAAATTAGTTATTTAACTCATTATAAATTATTTTTATGTTTTTCATATTTGGCGGTAAAAAGGTAATGCGTCACAGACTATATCCTTTTTCCAACATCTCGTGCGTTCCGGCTTACGCATAATAAAACGCCACATAGGTAAATGTGAAGAACATGTAGGTACCCTATATTTAATTTTATTAGTTTTTTTAAAACCTAAATATTTTTTAATATTGTGACAACCTTGACTCCCATTTTTATATTTTTGAAAAAGTCTAAAAAGGGCGGGTAAATTCGCCACAACGTAAATATTTCCACTGCTAGTTGAGATTAAGTTAAGATTTCAGTATATTTTTACTGTGACCAAACCTGTGGCAATGACAGTGACATTTTATAGTAATTCCATTTATTTCATTCAAATTTTGGGTATGGCAATTTTACCACAAGTGATGGTTAACTTTGCCATTTTTGTTTTTGAACTTAAATATCAATAATATTTAAGAAAACAATAGATATTTGATTACATTTCAACTATGCATAAAATACACTATCAAGCTGATTGATTTGAAGAGAGAGAAGAGATTGCACAAAGTGGGAATGAGTTGCTCGCTCCGGGCATTTCAATATTGTAAAATTGTTATGTTATAATTACTTATTGTAAAAATGAATATTAAAAAAAAAAAAAATACATGCCCGCTGAGTTTCTTGCCAATTCTTCTCAGGACGGAGGCTAATTCTTGTGAATTGGCGGTAGTTCTTTTGACGTTCAACAAGTATGTACTTTCATTTATGTTGAATAAAACTTTTTTGATTTGATTTGATTGCTCATTATATTCTCATAGAGATGTTTTAATAAAAACCTTTTCAAAGTTTTTTATCCACCAAAAAGTGGTAAAGTTGTCAGGTTTCACAGTATTTAAAAAAACTAAAAAACACGCTTTATATAAAATTCAACTAAAAAGAAAATAAATTTAAATTGAAAATAGTGTAAAATATATTTTATTTAAAAAAAAAGCGTGGGGTGCTTTTTAAGATATTATTGAAATAGTAATTCTTCTACTCATATCTGTCAGAAAAATATTTATAACTAATAACACCATGCACCCCACGCTTTTTTTTACAATAAAATTTATTTGACACTATTTTCAATTTAAATTTATTAAAATTTATTATATATTTCTTAGTTGAATTTTATATAAAGCATGTTTTTTTAAACTATTATTATTTATTGGTTAATATTTTTCAATGGCAGCTCGTGTAAAGTTTCGGCGGTACAATTGGAAAATAAATATGTAGTTGTCCGCTCCTTTATTTTCTTATTTTTTGTAATTGTTAAATAACTATAGAGTTTAAAATTATTTTCAATGTAACCTGCATTTGACATTGAGATCGAGGCGCACAAACATTGTGTAACGGTAACTATCGTACAGAAGATATTTGACATATTTAATCAATAGAGAGTCGATATATCGACAGTTCAGGCTTGTAGATTCCCTTCAAACAGATAACCCCGACATGATGTGAACACGCAACCTCTTACTCCCAAACTGTGCAATTGTGACGGATACAACTGCAGTTTTCAAACCCACCACAAGTCCGTCATCGACGTTGTATATTATCGCAGTTACAGCATTAACGTAGTTTAACTAAATAAAATAAACCATAATCGATTTGATTTTTTATTTCACATATTTTTTAAACTAGTTGATGGTGTTCGCTTCACTTTGGTAAAAACTTAAATAAAAATGCCTAATTCTCATCTAATTTACGATTACATTCATGCATGTCTACATACATAGTATTTACGTATCATATATATAGCACCAATTATAATAATATGAAATATAAAGATTCGGTCATCAGCTTTAAAGACCCTGCTATTTTTATTAATGTTTAAAATCGAATTGAAAACTCATCTAAAACTTTCAAGAATTAACTTTTTTTTTTTTTAACTAAGTAGCTGTTTCTGTTAAACAACTGCAAAAATGAATTCATCTTTATTTAAAATATCCATTTACATACATGAACACAAATATAATTATGTAAATTGATATTTCACGCCACATATAAATTATATAAAAAAATTACGTTTTTCTAAACTATATAAAATACATACCTACTCATTTTTGCACGTTCATTTAAAAGTTTTTGCAAAATAAAACAGAGTGGAGATGACGGTGTTGTCCTAAATGAAAACAAATTCCCTATAACTACATACTGCAAAATAGTTAAATCTATGGATTTACAAAAAAAAAGTAATCAAATTTAAACTTTTTTAAAGTTTAATGAGACTTGGTAAGATTTAAGGTTATACCATCATCCCCACCCCAATGCACGCCAATAGCATTTTTAACACACAGACTGATCTATATCTATATTTATACAACGGAATCTCAACTTATATTTCATCAACGTTAACCGATTAACTTGAATATTTATGGACTTATCAAGGGCCAATGTCAATAGAATTATTTTATTACTTTGGCCTAATATCCTGAAAAATATTCATACACAATAATCACAATAACAAAGGGATTATATATGGGAAGTCAAAACGTTTTTCTACTTTAAAAAAAATCTCCGATACCATTCAAAATAAACTATATTAATTATATTAAAAGACAAAAACTAAATAACATTTAAAAAAAAAAAAAATATACAGGTAAGAAATGAAACTTTTATAACGTTTAATTTAAATGACATTGTCCTTTGTAATAAAATTGCATGTAAACAGAATAGTGTTTTTATTTATTTATTTTTTAAGTTTATCAGATCATTCATACTTATTCTCTATGAGGTAGATATGGTTTTTAGTACATATATTTAGGTTTTTTTTTGTTTTTACATAATACGGATGCCAAATTCATTGAAGCGAAGGCGTCTGCAAGATGTTGTCTATTCGCCGATAACGCTACAAAGTTCGTCGTATGTCATCCTGTTGTAAAATCAAACAGAATAAAAATACATGTACCCATTTTATAAATAGTTAATTTCAAAGAGAAACGATGACAACATAAATGATACACTTAAGACAGTAACTCGTACGAAATTAATACAAAGTTACTTTCTTACTAAAACCTGTTTTGAGTAGCTGGTGGGTGATGTTCATTGACCCCGAATTTAATTTGAGATAGGTTGCGGGCTCACGGCTTATGGAACTTTTGAAACGTAACTTAGATTTGCAAATCACTAATTTTATGCTTAGGTTAAGGTAGTAATATTATTGCGGAGTCCGACGTCGTTGGTCGTCGACTATCGCCTCGACGACCCGTCGGTCGGGCGTCCTCGGGGTGGCGCCGCGTGTCTGGTTGTAGTAGCCCAAGAGCCCGCGACAGCCAGAACTTCGATATTTTATAAAAGCTGAAAGTTTCTCTGTGTATATCTCCAACACAGGTAATAACGACCCGCGACTATAGAGTTCCGATTGTGGTACTTGGGCAGGTAACAGGCAGTAAAGGTATATAAAATAGTACCTTAAATTCGTTAAAGTATTGCGCCCCCTAGGCACGGGGACCTCATAGGAGGTCCGGCCCCCGGACCGGTCCGAAAAAATAAAAAAAATATTCCCTTTACAGCTTTAGAAACTGTTGGTTTACGCTCCATACAAGGTGTAAAACTATCCAGAGTTACACGTATACCTATGCCTCAGTTAATATAAATCGTGTAAGATAATGAGAACTCACCTTGTCGTCTTTTATGCTGGCCTTATAAGTTTTTTTCATTTTAATTTTCTTTAAGCAAGCTGCCAATTCTGTATCAATTAATTTTAACGATTTTATTAATGCATTTATTAACTTACCTACAATTAAATGGAAATAGTAATGACATTAAGCAATGCTGCTTTTCAAAGACGCTATGTTGTTTTACCCAAAACGTACATGAATGTACGCTGACAGTCACTGATTAGTAAACCAACCAGGAGATAAACGAATAGATTCAATGTCATTACAACATTAAACAAATCTTTGTTTCGCAGAAATAGTTAAGGCCTGATAAGTCACGATAATTCTTTTAGGTTATTATTCAGAAAATATCAGTTCGAGCAAGTTCTTAATGTCGTTAAGTAAACGAACTAGCGAACTATCTGGATTTAGCCTA